TGACTTAACATGCCTTTGGACTTCTGAGTGGAGGTGCTATGTAGGCCGTTGAGTGTGTGAATCTGAAGTAAAGTGCCAAGATCCAGACTGGAGGTATACACTGGTGAGTCACCTGCGCATGGAGAGAACTGAAGCCAAGGCATGGGTGACAATCTCCAGGAAGACAATGGGTGGCCACTGGTGACTCAGAGAGTCAATTCAGTGGAGTGTTGGTCACGGTCAGATTTGCAAGAATGGAGGAGAGAGTGACAGGTGACAAAACGGAGATGAGTAGAATAGATTTTTTTGTGGCAAAATTTATAATAAACAATGCAGAGAGAGGGAAAAGGCCAGAAGGCATCAAGGATTGACGGAGAGCTGAGTGCGTGGTATGTTATTTAACGACTGAGTGGCTTAGGTACATTCACAAGGCAGCGACAAAACTCTTGAATGAAAGCAAAAGAAGTGATCAGATTTCCTGGAAAGGTGGAAGGGAGTGAAATCCAACACACAGTTGTAGACATCGGTCTTCAGTAGTGAAAGGGGAAGTTCCTAATTGAAATAGACAAGGCAAAGGCCAGGATGCTCGTGAGAGACAGTGGCTCTGTATGCCTGAGGGCAGGAAGTTCATGGTGTTTTGTGTGTACGTGTGTGTGAATGACTTGGTGAGTGAGGTCACAGTGTAATATTCTTTCATTATCCTGCTGATGACAGTGCGCTAGTATTTGATTTAGGGTTTTGCATAGATATATGCAAACCATAGATGGCATATATAGGAATCCTATTGATGCCTGGAAGTATCTACCATGTAGCATGGTGGAGACCATGCATGCCTTCCCATAAAAGGGAACGTGGGACTGAAAAGTGAATTGGCCCACTGCAGGCTCACATTGGCGTCCTCCCCATGGAGATGTGTTCCTGACACGGAACGTTAGCAGTCTCTGTTTTCTTCTCCTCAGGTCCCTTCAAGTCATGACACGCCTCTAGCTGTACTTTCTCCTTGATATAACCGGTCACTTCCTCTCAGGCTCCAGTGATGTTTATGATGCCCTTCCAGCGGCCAAATGGTTTCAACAGCCCTTAATCTTTACCAGCTGTCTCCTCAAGTGGTTGCCAAAAAGAACCCACCTATTTGCAGTGCATAAAACGTGCATTTTAACACCATGAATGATACTCTTGGGCAGTTCTCCTGGCCCAGAACCTATTATGCTTCCTCTTCTTTTCTTTACCTGGGAGATTAGGGTGGCATCCACTCATTCACAGTGGCCAGTCAGCTGAGAGAGTGAAAAATGGAGGAACGATTCTTTTCAATATGGCGCTGGACTTGTGCGTAGAACATGACGTTGTACAAGGCAACACCATATAAAGGAGGCGTGTTCTTTTCTTTCGTAGATTCCGTCTTCAGGGTTATAGTACTTCTGTAACGTGAGTTGGAGTCTTTCGTGCCTTTCAGCAATCTTCAGTGGTTTATGTCATGGATAGTATCCATTTAACAAGCTTGAAACCCCTGGTTCCTGCCAGTATCTGCATCTCGTTCTTATTTTTCCCTCATGGGGGTGAGATTGAGCCGAGAGTATGACCAGATCTTTAACATTATTTCCAGCCACCCCCACCCCTGCTTATTGTCATATTCAAGATTTTAATTGTTAAGTAAATTCCTCAGTTTAGGTTTTCTCAGGGATAAAAGTCATCCATTTCATGACAATACTGAAATTATTACTAAGAGTGGTTCATCTGGGGGTACCTGGGTGGCTCAGTTGGTTAAGCACCTGACTCTTGAGTTTTGCTCAGGTCGTGATCTCATGGTTCGTGGGATCGAGCCCTGTTTTAGGCTTGGCATTCTCTCCCTCCCTCCCTCCCTCCCCCCTCCCTCCTTCCCACCTCCCTCCCTCCCTCCCATACTCTCAAAATAAATAAATAAACATTTAAAAAAAGAAAGCTTTTCATCTGGTCTCAGCTTGCTTTAAGCCTCTCTCCTCTCTTTTTTCTGGTCAAAGATTGTGTGTAATCCATTCCATCTTCTGACCTAGTAGTTTTATGTGGAATGACATTTGGAAAATTCTAATAGTTGGATTTGAGGGGTTAATTAGCTAATATTCATTTACAGCTGGACTCTGTTGTGGTCAGAGAATGTCACCTGCTTCTGGCTTTTGGAACTTACTGCCGTTTACTTTACAGACTAACGTGGGATCAGTTTTTGTTAATGTCCCATTGGTGCTTCAGGAGAGCATATTACATCCATTTCTAGGGCTCAGGGCTGGTGGTTATTAAATCAACATACTTTTCTTATTCATTTTTTCATATTTATTTTACAACTTGATGTATCAAATACAGGATAGTAAGTTAAAGGTTCTGACTAGATTTTTTTTTCATTGCTGTAGGTATTTCTGAGAGACAGAGAGAGACAGAGTTATATTATTTGGCATGTTGAATTAGTCAAGATTTGTGAGCAAGAAACCCGACTCACTCTGACCTTAAACCAACAGAAAGAAATGTGTGGTTCTGCTTCCCTTTTTAGAGTCCTTTCCCCCCTCTAATCATTAATTTATTTCTTGACGAAGGCTTTGCATATTATTTCTGCTCCAAAAAGACCCTCTCATGATGGCATTGTAGAAGCCAAATGTGAATTGAAGGATGTTGCCTCATGCTTCAGAAGGAATTTATTATTGAAAATTACACCATAATTTTAACATTTCATTTTATAGCTTCTAAATGCGTCACGACTGTTACTCCAATTCTGCTCAATAAAAGGTGGAGTAAACTCATATATATATGTTTTTACTTCTACTTTTGAGGGGAAAGGTTTTATCAAGCCTCTTTAAGGAAAAGCGTTAATGTCATCCTGTAGGTCAAGTATGTGGGTAGAAGATAGTCTTGTGGCCGTCTTTGGAAAACACATTTTACCGCAATGAGTGTCTTAAAGCATCTATTAATATTTTTTTTAATTCTTTTGACTGTGCCTGCTTTAAGACAGAGAAATTTTTCATGCACCTCACACATGGTCATAATGAGTTGACTTTGATACTTTAAGACCCACCCACTACGCCCCCAGAAAACATTCCACAATCGTCTCTGTGTACATTTTCTACAGAATTTCGATTGCAGATTAAAATATATGTGAACCATACCTGGACTCTTCTGATTACAGAGCAATGCAACCTGCTAGGAAGTGAGCATCTGTGGCCCCGTGAAGTCACTCCTTAAGGAAGCTTGATGTTTGCATATGGGAACCAGTTAGTTACTCACTTGTAGCTGTGTCCCCTTCTTATCCCAAGTTAGCCAGTATTTATTAAAAAGTAGTTCATGGAGATATTTGGAGGTTTAAGACTGCATCTTGCTGTGGCCGGGACCATAAGATTACAACCATAGAAAGGAGAAAATGTAGCAGAAATGTGTGTGCCTCACCAATGTATATTTTATATATACTTCTGGCCTATTCTGCATTCTGTAAAATATTGTAAAACGGATGAATTGAGACATGGCATTTGGAAAGAGAACCACAGTCTTCGAACATAATGGAACTCACATTCTTGCATGAAACTGAATACATTTGCATATTTCAAATAGTATAGTCAGTTGCTGGGGCAATTTTTATTTGATTTTTTTTCATCAAAAGTTTGATTTATATTTCGTTCAGTTCTGATTTTCCAAGGATTCTTTTTGTGTCAACAGACAAAGAATAGTGGTTGGGACGTGGGCTTTGGGGTCAGACAGAGCTGGCTGGCCTCAAAGGAAAAACACGCCTCTGGAAGTTCCTATTTGCACAGTCTCTGCTTTGCGAAGCCAGTGACCGTGTTGCATTTTGGAATCTCCGGAGTGCAAAAAAAGAGCACACACATAGGAGATAGGAAATCTATTTTTTTTTCATATTTATTTACTTTTGAGAGACAGAGCATGAGCAGGTAATGGCAGAGAGAGATGGAGACACAGAATCCAAAGCAGGCTCCAGGCTCCAAGCTGTCAGCACAGAGCCTCACGCGGGGCTCAAACCCACAAACCGTGAGATCATGACCTGAGTTGAAGTCAGACAGTCAACCAACTAAGCTACCCAGACGCCCCTCTAATTTTTAGTTTTGAGTCTACCTTTTTCCTTGTTGTTGTGTTAATTTCTGTTTCCACCTCAGTTTCCTTATTATGAAATTAATGAAATGGAGATGATGATACCATTCTTTGGACCTCCCAACATTCCCCTGGACCCAAATGGTGCATTTGAAAGCAGTTTGTACACCCCGAGCACTTTCCCAGTGGGAGGTATTGCTGCTGTCTCCGCCAGCCATGGAGATATTACTACTCACAAGAGTAGTGAACAGGAGCTCGGACCAGAATGAAAATTGGAATAAGGGCTGTACATCCAAGTTAGCACATATGCAGTGACATAGAGAAACTGTTACACGTTAGCTGCTGATGTGAGAATCCCTCTCGGGGAACTATCATACAGTTTGGAGGAACGCTTTGATGGTTCAGTTGAGGGGACTTGGATTTGGATTGCAGGCAAGTCTGCCAGTAGATGGGGAATCGGGACGCTCCTTCATGTTTCGAGGTGAGTATATTTGGGTGGAGAGGGTAGTGATGCCATGTTTAAAAGGTGACTGAGAGGGGCGCCTGGGTGGCTTAGTCAGTTAAGCGTCTGACTTTCACTTAGGTCATGATCTCGCGGTTCGTGGGTTCGAGCCCCGCGTCGGGCTCTGTGCTGACTGCCAGCTCAGAGCCTGGAGCCTGTTTCAGAGTCTGTGACTCCCTCTCTCTCTGACCCTCCCCTGCTCACGCTGTCTCTCTCTCTCTCTAGAAATAAATAAAAATATTAAAAAAAAATAAAAATAAAAGGTGACTGAGAGAATATTAGAGACTGGAAGACCTTGAAAAATGCAAAGTTGTTTGCTCCCACATGCACCCTGAAATGCAGCCTGTAGCCAAGCAATATACTCAAAAGGCAGTGGCTTAAAAAGTCCCAGGACCCTATATCCCCCCACAGTAAGTTATTCTAAATCATTTGCATTGTTTTTTCTCTTCCCACCGTCCAGGTCATCAGGAAGCCATAGCCGTGTGCTTACACACCCAGACCCAGCAGACAGTGAGTGACACCTTGTGTGATACGGTCCACCGCCCTCCAGCGATGAGCCAGGCTTGCAACACGGAGCCCTGCCCACCCAGGTACGTGCGCAGATGCCGCTGTGTTGAGCAGGAGACCCCGTCAGCCCGGCTCTTGGGAGTGAACATCAGCTGCCTGATGCTGGCAAAGCCACGGGGTCCACGGTTTTGTGCTGTTTTTCCTCACTGTCTCCTCGAGGTACATCTTTGCCCGAGGCCGCGTCAAAGAGCACAGGATCAGAGGTAGAGTCAGCACCCGGGACACGGTGGGTGCACACTCTGTATTTGTTGAAGGACTGAGTGATCTCCTACTTGTTACCTAGAATTGACACCGTGTTGGTTAGTATCCTTCCCGCTGACTTGCCTTAGAGCTCAGATTGTGGGACGTAATCTCACAGGCCCCAGAGAATATGTGAGGTTGTCTTATTTTTTGTGTCCGTGGTCTGGAGGGTTGACCCTAAAAGCGAATCTTCTTCCTTGCTTAAGTCCTTAGAGGATTCTGGCGAGTTTTTTTTGGAAGGGAGGGTAGATTTCCCTCCTGTTGCCCTGTCCCCACGTGTCACTGGCCACAGAACATTTTGACTTAGCGTCATTGGTTTCTCACATAAGAGCTTCCAGAATCCAACCCCCAATTTCTTTCTTCTCTCCTATCCCTTTGTTGTGTCGGTCCTGCTTCCACGCTAAGAATCAGTTGCCCAAAATATCTATATTTTAGACAACAAAATAGGAATAAGAATAATATCTTATTCCTAGTCAGCTCCCTCCCTCTTTGCCAGATTCTTTGAACCACCTCCTGGCGACACGTCATCCATCTGACAAAGCACCTTTACCCCTGAAGTCAAGTTTGCTACGACTAGGTTTCTAGGTAACTATGAAGGTCATTGTCCATACTGGCTGGGCTAAGGACAGGGTATTTTATGTTTATTCAGGAAATAAGTCTGATTCTGGAATTCTCTTGACCCTTCTCATTTTGATCCATGGAATGTGTTGGCTAGGATGTTGCCTTGATGGTCGGAGGGTGACGGGGGGTGGGGGTGGGATAAGCCAGTCCACCCTAGGAACCCAGCCCTCCCCATCCTGCAGATGGGCCCTTTCCTTCCAAGTCTGCTTCTCCAGCTGGCACGGTCTCAGGCAGAGGCCTGCCCCAGTGTGCGCTTCATCTTTGGGGAGAACACCCCTGCAAGGAGCCAGGCACAGTGTTCTACCCCCATTACCATATTTCTGACTTCTGTTGTAGGCTGAGGAAATACCAGGCCCTTCCTGACTTGTGTTCGAGCTATCTTGCTGTGAAGCAGTTAGGACCTAGGCCCAGAAACAACACAGGGAAATCTGCTTCCCTGTACACCCCCTCCCCTGCCCCCGCCACTGGGTTTCCTGCATTCCAGAACAATCCAAGATTGCAGAAGAGACATACAGGAGGGGTTTTAGGAAGGTCTGCTCTAACTCCTGCTCAGGGCGCCCACCTTGTGAAGTGTGTCCAGAGCTTTCCGAGAGCCTTGAGCACGTGCTGATGTTCTGAGTGTATGTCTACTTGGTGTGCCCCTTTATAGTCAGAGAAATAGCACTTACGTTATTTGTATAAACTCTCAATCCAAATCACTCATCTAGGGTTCTCAATTGTTGGAGCCACTGACTCAGACAGTCTTGGAAAAGCCAGGATTTCTCTTTTCCATCCCTGACATGTCCATCTCCTGAGGCTCTCTCACTGGAAGCAGACGGCTACCTGTCTGACCCAGGGTAGGAGACAAGGGTAGACAGCGAGGGAGGGAGCGTAGTTTACTCTCCCCACATGTTTTCCCATGAGGGGTTGGAATCATGCGCGACCTCCCCTTTCTCTACACCAGCTCTCTTTCTGGAAAGAGGACTATAAACAAAATGGTTTGGAATTTACTAAACGGTGAGTGCAATTTGGCTAAGCACACAGTTCCATCATCATAAACAAAGAAGAGTTAAAAGAGGAAAATATGACCCCCCCAAAATCGGGAGTGTGCTCTGTTTCTAGTTTCAAATCTCATTCCACAGCAACATGAAGTCAGCCTTCGCCCAGTTGTGTCTTTTCTTCCCAGGCCCAGCCGTTGGCAAATGAGGACGTGGGCACAAGTGGACAGGTGGACAGTTAAACAGAAAATGGAAACAGGAGGGATTTGCACAGAACATGTGCTAGGGGGCTGAGGACGCTGCTGTATAAACCAGTTGTAAAATCAACCCTGTTCCCGATCTCACTCTGAAAGTGAGGACAGCCCTCGTGGGTCATCGTATAATTTTTTAGGAAAAGAAGTGAAAATACAAAACAATTCATTCTCTCTTCATTCTACAAATGAGCCCACCCAGTTTCAATCGCCACCTACATTAGGGTTCAGTGTCAGGTAAACGACTCGATTCCATACGTTTTAGTGTGACTTTTAAAGACTAAATCCAAATCAAACATTCCCCCACTGTTTATTCTATTTATCATAAAATTGGAGTTCCTTCTTAAAGCAGCCTCATATTAAGTGGCCTTTTCTGGTTTCATTTCTCCTCTGGTGACATGGACATGATTCGTGATGATTTATCTCATACCATCTCACAAACTTGTCCCTTCTGTTCTTAACTGCCCCTGCCCTAATTCACACGTATTTTGCATGAATTGCTCCAGTAGTTTCTACTTAAACTCCCACCTCTTGTGTTTTCTGCTCTGATCCACATGCACATGTATGACCTTGAAAGATCTTTCTAAACTGGTGACCGTGTGAAGCTCCCATGTAAGACCCTTCAGCAACTCTCCTTACCTGGGGATTAAAATCCACATTCTTTACTTTGGCAAATGCAGGAGTATCCCGGGGCTGCCTCAGACTAGGGGGCTTACTCAGCAGAGGTTTATTGTCTCAGTTCTGGAGGCCGGGGAGTCTGAGATCAAGGCTGGCAGGGGTGACCCCTTCTGAGGCTGGGAGGGACAACCTGGTCCAGGGCTCTCCCAGCTTGAGAGCCACCGGCGTCCCTGGTGTTCCTCGTTCTCCCCGATTTTCCATATTGTCGTCCTTCTGTTTGTCTCTGACAAATGTCCTCTTTTAATTAGGACAACACTCCTATTGGATCGGGGCCCATTCTAATGACGTCATCTAAGTTGATCATTGGCAAATACCCTATTTCCCAGTGAGGTCACATTTCCAGGTAGTAGGACTCAAAGCTTCAGCAACTTTTAGGGGGAAACAATTCAATCTGTAACAGGCTCTAAAGTCTTTCGTGACTATGGTTTTAGGTTTGAACCCCATCTCCTGACCACCCTCATTGCATGTGCGTGCACACACATGCACACGCATACACATGTACGTGTGTGCACGCACACAAACGTGCATGCGCACAGAGGAACTTTCTCAGCAGCCACAGTAAATTTTCACCATGACCCACACTCACGTTTATTCATGCCTTCGGACTTTTGCACATACCACGCCCACTGTCTGGAGCCCTTTTCTACCATGAAATAAGTTTATTCTCTCCCAGGAAAGTGATCACTCCTCACCGGTATAATGAAGTCCAACAGAATGTGAAATAGGACCCTCACCTGAGACCCTTGTTAGAGGGGAACTCTTAGTAGTGGAGAGAGGACTGGGGGTCGATCAGGGGCGTGGGGTAGTCCCCCAGCTCAAGCCCCTCCGGCAAGTTCAGAAGGTGCCTAGCCCTTTGGGCCTGGCTTCTCCATCTGAGTGGTGATGGAAGGTGCTGCCCACCAAGGTCCTTTCAATGCCAGCCTTTCACTGTTGAAAGGCTTTCAACAGTGCTTTCAAGTTGTCTTTTCCACTGTCATCTTCACAACTACGCCTCGTCTTTCTTCAGGGACCCTCGGGTCTACTCATGAGTAGTTGGAAATGCTCAGGGCTCATTTTAGTTTTAAGAACAACAGCCTTCCCTTGACCAGCCCGGGAGGTCACGGTGGGGTTGATTTGACCGGCCCGGGAGGCCACAACAGGGTTGAGCTCAGTCTGGAGTACTGCGCTTTCTTTGCTCGCCAAGCCAAAGCAGGATTTAGGAACAAGTCCGGACCTTGTTTCTTACGGCAGCCGAGGGAAGCATGCCGGTGTGGCGTGTGTGTGGCAGCACCTCTGTCCCCTCGTTGCTGCTCCTCAGCAAGAATGATGGCACGTTACCTTCTCCAGCAGCGTCTTGCCCACGCAGCTTCCAAGCTGGGAATAATAAAGCACACGATATGTCTTGGCCTCTTTGCAAAATTAAGAGTCTGTTTTTATGTGAAGGGAAACGCTCTTCCTCATTTCAAAATTGCAAATTTAATAAACTTTTCGAACGTTGAGAGTTATATTGGAAAAAGCCCAGCAGAGACAAAGGGTTGGTGCCAAAGTAAAGGTAAGTTTACAAAAATGTTTTAGGTTCTAGAAACCAGTGGTGTAGGAATAACAGGAACAGAGCATTGCATAATATTTTCCACACAAATATTTACTGACTCCAAGGGCAATAGCAGTAAAATATCACCCCAGGGTGGAACGTACCACTGAGATTGGGTTGGACGGTCCGTGGATCTTTATTTACCCAAAGGCAAATGCATTTGATGTATCAGGCTGGACTCTCTAAGGTGGGGTGTTGTGTGTTTATTTGCTCTTGGGAGGTTGCTCCCCCCGGCCTGTGCTATAACTGCCGAGTGTCTGCTATTTATGCAGTTTGCTTTTTCCAGGAGTGAGCCAGCAGCTTGTAGAAACATGCAAGGTTACATAATGGTCCCACTCATCTGAGGAAGGCTTTCTTCTCTGACAGCAGTCAGCGCTGCTAGGGAGGGAAGTCGGAAAGCAAGAGGCAAGAGCGACGTGTTCCTCTCCCTACTTGTCACCCAGTTCTTGACCATGAAAAGATTCTGTACTTAACCCATTGTCTGTGAAGAAGAAACTGTTACCCATTTCTTGAATAACAGAGCTTTCATTTCCAGTGCCTTGTGCCTCGAATGGATTATTCTAGTTACATATTTTCTTGAAAGATGAAAATCCGAAGTCACTCCAAATGAGTTATATTTCTAAGCTGAACTGATAGCAAAACAGTGTTCTTTTAATTACTCACCCATGTGGCTGAATTATCATCAA